TCATTGCTTCACTTACGAAAGACCTACAGACCCGGCTCTTTATGGATGTGATGCTCCCAGAATAATTGCATTTGAAATTGTTTCTAGAACGGCACGGCTTATGGTTAAGTATCTGAAGACTTGTCATATTTTAATCTTTCAATTATTTACCGCGACTTTTCCAGTTTAAAAAAGGAGTTTTTGATGACAAACCTCATCTGTGACGGTCACCTCCAAACTTGCCCAGTGTTTTACATGTAACTTTTTGGGTTAACAGGTTTCCAGTATGCTATATTTCCAGATGGTGTACACCTCAAACCGTTTTTTATTTTGGAAGTTATTTTAAGCCACAATTGCCTAAAAAGTTAATGCTTTTTCTTCTTATCTTTCAGACCATAATCAAGTTCATCATGGAAAAAGAGGATCTCAGTTATTTTAGAGCTTCAATTTTCTGTCAAAGTAGTCTTGTTTCGGTAGCAACTTCATAGATAGTTTTAGGCTCACTTTGCCAAACATAACTGTCGGTTTTATTACATCATCATGACACACCACATATCAAACTGGCGAAAGTTTTGATCTAGGTGCTTCAGGAAATTGAATCCAGTCCGCTCTTAACTTCGCGTATTTTATCGTGTACTTTCTTATGTTTGATACAAATAGTGCGGTGGTTTGGTTATTTAAAACCCTCAATAACAGGAATAAATTTAAAGAAAACAATACAGTAGTTGGTGGTTATACGTCTTAAGTTATTCAAAATGAAATAATTATTAGGTGCTACACCAGGTCACTTCTCTAAACCAATGAGAAAAATTCCTCGTCTTCAAACTTCCGATACGATGAACCTTTTCTATGCCGCCTTGTTTCCTTAATGCGGTAAATCTATCCATCATAAGCATTTGTACCAAAACTGGAAGGGTGTTTAAACGAAACCGCAACACAAAAAAGGCTCAACTCATTTGATAAATATTTTTAAATTACTCGAAATAACCCCAAATGATTACGTTACGCAAACAAAAAAGTTGAAACTTTATCTGACTTAAGAAAATCGTTTACATTGCAATGGAACAGCCTTGTAGTCAGTCAAGTGTTACTAACATCTTGATAAGAAAGGGAAACAAAAGGCAAGAAACTATTTTCTATCATTTAGTCTTGTTAATATATAAATTTCGGCAAGCCTAAAAGCGGAGCCCCACAGTTATGAATTGTTTACTTAGTTTAGAATATTTTTTTCCATTCTGGTAAATAAGCGGCTAAAATATTAAAATTACAGTTTCTAGTGGATCATAAGTGTTGAATTAAAATCGCCTACGGCCAAACTAAATACTTTTGTGACACTACAAAATCTGCTCACGGCACCTCAAATGATCTTGAGACGCAGTAAGATAAATTCCCGATAAAATAAAATGAACTCAAGGTGTCCAAAATTAGCTCACGGCAACAACAAAAAACAAAACACGGAAAAATCAAAGCAAAACAGAGAGTGGAAACCAGTCTTGAAACTGTAAGAAATCAAATCAATTCTACGCTGCGCGAGAAAATGCCGAAATGTGAAAATAAACAAAAACAAGAGAACAATTACTTTATGAGATGAAGCCTCAAATTCCCAATTAACGGTCGCCAAATGAAACAAACTTAAAAGAAAC